TCATTTGAAAATCAAACAAATAAAGGTTTTGGGCCCACTCACACTTGACAAACACACCAAACCTAAGAATTATTTTCCTAAACCAAGAAAGTTCATCCTCTACCTTTCCATTGAAGAAAAGCGAGAAACTGATTTTCTCCAGTACTGAGGTCTCCAATTTAAAGAACATCAAATGTGAGATGGACCTGTCTTCCCTAGATGAGGTAGTAACCGATGGCTGCAAAGAAAAACATATATTCACTGGTAATGCCAACTAATATGAATTGTAACATATTTGCTTGTGAGAGGAACAATGTCTCTGCGTTCCTATGTCTGCAGGATTGCAAATAGTGTCAGAGAAGAGGAAGCCTGCCTGGAACATTCCTTCACCTCCTTCATACCCTCACATCTGGGAGCCCACAAGCTAATCACCTTCTAAGGCACTAGTTCTCCAACTTCTTCAGGCTGTGACCATCTCATGCACTTCCTTATGTTGTGGTGACTCTCCACATAAAATTATTTTCCTCGCTACTTCATAACTGTCATTTTGCGAGTGTTATGAATTATAATGTCAATATCTATATTTTCAGAAGGTGTTAAGTGACTTCTGTAAAAGAGTCCTAGGGTTTCCAAATGGGTCACTACCCACAGAGTTGAGAACCACTGTTTTCTTGGGTATGTGATAGTAAATTAGACTATGGAGACAAAAATCAGAGAGTGAGCTACTTGCCTCAGAAAACATGAACACATACAAATGAAGATAATAAATATTAGATAATCCTGTAGTAGCTAATGTTAACAGGAATGTGCCCAACATGCTTGTGTGTTTTCAATTGATTTATTTTAGGTGTTTAAATGTTTTGCATGAATTCTTTCTGTGTACCTTGTGTGTGGCCTGCCCACAGACATTCAAGAGGGCATTTGATAACCTAGATTAGAGTTCCAGATTGATGTCAGCTAAGATGTGGGTGCTGTGAGTCAATCCCAGGTCTTCTGACAGAGCAAAAAGTGGTATACACTGCTGAGTCATCTTTTCTGACCCCAAAATGATATCTTTGTTATGCACCTGATCATAAGCACATGCCAAGATATCATTAGTAGAGATAATTAGCAAGCACCAGGGTATTTGCTAACTTCCTGGACCCTAGGCCTCATCAGTCTGCCAGTTTGACACATTGAAATGCAGAGAGCTTATAGGCAGGAAGAACATGAATAGGAGGCTGGGCATGTTGGTACACTCCTCTACTCCCTGTACTCATGAAGAAGAGGCAGGCTGGTCTCTGTGAGTTCAAGGACA